ACTTCTCGTCCTTCTCAATGCTGACATGCCCTGCCATAGGTAGGCCCAGGACGTCGCACGCCACCCGGAGTGCTGCGATCCCGTCAAATAAACCTATGGACAACACTTGTACCAAATCATGCTCCTCAGGGAGATCGCCCCTCACCGGGCAGCTCACCGCGCTCAGCCCATAGCTCGTGAGCCCCTTAGAGGCACACAGACCCCCTCCAAGTGTGGAGGCGTCAGAACAGGTGACTTCCCCATCAACCGGCGAGCGAAACTCCATCTGAGCAAGAGGGGTCAACAAGATAAACCTAGCGATCTCAATCTTGACCTGATAGGGCAAACTCAAGCGTACAACCGGTGCTTCTCCCTCAAAACTCTTCATGTGCTCAAAAACGGCGTTGAGGCTGCCCAACAGTTGACGACGAAACATAGCCAGGTAAACAAAACCCCCGCATACCACTTGGAGTTCCCGCAGTGTAGACTGCCCCCTCACCAGGAGCTCAAAACCCAGTTTACAATACTGGACCACCTTCTGTGGCTTAGGCATGGCATAGCCAGCCTCCCCATCCAGGAGAGCCCCTTGTAGCTCTCCCAGTGTCACCCTCTCAGCAGCTTTCTTTGGATGTCGGGGTAAGCCCTGCTCAAGGTACATGTCACGCAATGTCTCCACTTGTGGCTTCACTGTACCCTTTATCTGCCCCGCCAGCTCAGCATCGACACGCTCCAGGGCATCAAAATTATCCAAGTATACCCGGTACATGTCAGCGGCTGAGGTCATGGCGCGGTCCTTGCGTAGCTCGCCTTCCGCACCATTCGGAGGCGTTCCTGACAGCGCCGCCCAACGAACCACGTTGCGGTGTATATGCTGGGCTATGCTGACCGAGTTCAAAAACCCCATGGGCAATACTCGAGCAACCAGGACACATGGTTGACCCTCGAACTCCTTTGGAATCAGGTCTGCTGGGACGGCCTTGTTGAAACCCATGTACTTCTTCCACTGCATAGGAATAGAAAACAAGTAAAAGAAACGCTTGATGTCTTCTGAGGATAGGAGGGCGACTTCCCCCGATCCCAGGAGAAAACCACCAAGGCCCGAGACCGCGGGAAGGGTCCCCACGTCGCCTTGAAGTGGTTTGCATATCTGGTTGACTGGCACCAGATTCATGATGAGACGTTGTGTTTCAATGCCAGACTTGTATTCGCCCTTGCCCACCGCAAACATTCCGTTGAGCAGTGCCCCATCAATGTGGTGAAGTTGGGAGACAGGCCAGACTTCACAAACCCGTTTTTCAATCAACCCATTGCAAACATTGTGCCGCTCCCCTTCACTGATCATGACTCTAGGTGGTTTGGCCCGAACCTGAATGTCCTCAGGCAATAAATACCTCTCAAACTCTTCAACATACCCTTTCGTGCCCAAAGTGCAAAAGTCCGTGAGCGGTAGACTCCCTACGCCTTCTGGGAGTGACTCACTCACAGCTGCCCAAGTTACACTCTGGGCCACCTTCACTTCTTCCCCACAGTAATCAACCTTGCGCCTCATGAAAAACTCACTAAACGAAAAAGAACTATCCGAGACCTCCCACATGCGATTGCGGACGATGAGCGCCACCAGCCTTTTTTTCAGCAAGCGAGCGGACAGAAGTCTCAGAGGACGTCGCTGAAACAGTCACCTCGTCTGGCGCTGAGCTCTGCGCGCACTCATATCCAGCCAAATGATTGAGCGCAGTCAAAGTTCCATTCACCAGAGCGTCAAACCTGGGCAGGTGAGTGAAGCCAAGTCTGGAACCCCAGCCTTCCGGCCGAATCCGTAGCGGAAACAGCGGACAGCGTGGTCCCTGACTGGACTCCGTGTTGGAGCGTCGTGATACGGGGTGCTTGTCGGTCCGCAACACCTCAACTGCCCTTTTGAAAATAGCGGCCATAGTGGAACCATCCAAATCTTGATCTTCGTCAGGCTTGGATATCCCAGCGCTCAGCTCTGCCTCCTGTCCTGGAGAAATATTTGCTGTAAGGTCCAACGGTTCACCATCGTTCAGCGTAGCCGTCTTTCCAGAACTATTGAATTCATCACCAGCCTCGCCGCTACCAGCGTTATGACCAGTGGCCTCCACGCAAAAGTCCACCTCATAAAGCCCAGGAGCCTCTATCGGGGGAGCCTTTAAGCCCTCCCGCGGTCTCCCGCCATCACCAAGCATCATGTCTTCTTTTTTCCTTCTCCCTTCTCCTTCTTGTTCTTGTCGAGCTCGGTGGACTTGTTGTCGCCTTTGCTGCTCTTCCACTTGCCCTTCTCGCCTTTGTCTTTGCCTTTTGATCTCTCTTCCCAGGGCCTGTTCGTCGACTTGTGAAGGACCTTGGCCTCGTGGTTGGCTGCCTGCCCTGCCATGTGAACCTCGGTCGACGATGCCAGACCCCCGCGATCCAGGGGTAGCAGTTCGAGTTGGCGAAGCAAATCTGGACGCATTGACTTGCTCAAACCTTCTAAGCTCTTCAGGCGCTGCGTCATCACGTCCATGGCGCTGGCCACTCTTCCCTCCAATAATAAATCCAGGACTGCTGACCAATGCAATGCTTCTCGAGCCACCGGAGCAGCCATGCTGGCCATCAGGTGTTGCCTGCAGTATTGGGTCACCAGAGGGCGAATGTTGCGACCCTCCGCTTCGCGCAGTCCCGCGCCCAATTGTAACATCATGACTTTCTGTGCCTCTACGAGCATCGTCGCAGTCAGGACGCCTGGATACTTGCGCCAGATGCGCTGGGGCGCTGACAGGGGAGTGAACAGCTCCTCGTACTGCCCATCTTCCTCCGTCGAACTCCCGCTTGATGAACTGCTGGAGCTGGAACCTGTTGAGCTCTTCCTGCTTCGGGCACGCCTGCCTAGGCGTTTTGCCTTCTTCCTGAGCTTGCGGCGGACCTCCTCTTTCGGATCTAAGCCTGTCGTAGCGAAAAGGGCTTCCAGGCTCTTGACCGGCGCCATGCGCTCTTTTGACTTCTTCTTCTTTTTCTTTTTCTTCTTGGCCGCAACTTCCTTCTTGTCGTCGGCCGACTCCCGATCCGCCTCCTCCGCGGTCGTTCCAGGAGCCTTCAAGCCTGCTCCAATACCCTTGCCTCGCTCTGCGGCTTCCCTCCGAATGACCGCCATCTCGTCTCTCTCCGCTTCTCGGACACTGACCTCGGCGTTCCGGCTCCAAGGGTAGTCCTCGTAGTTGCAACGCTTGAGCCTCTGTGCATGGATCAGGCCCTCTTTCCAAGTCAGGTGGCTGCATGGGTCGTCGCATAGATGGACTTGAAGTAGCTTTGAAGCCTTGCCTGAAAGCACCCTCAGAATTTCCTCCGAGGTCGTGCCATGGGCTTTGAAGCTCAACAACGTGCCCTCGTCCCCGATCTCCAGGGATTTGACTTCGCCGATCACCTCGGCATTGTTGTCCCAATACAGCCCTTGTATGTAAACTGCTGGCCAGGAGCTCAACTCCCGAACATTGATCTCTGAGGCTTTCTCCCAGCCCTCCTCGTCCAGGGCCATCACGGCTGGTCGGTGTCTCACTCGGGCCCGCCGTGGCTCGGCCGCTGGGCGCCTCATTGCGCGCTTCGGCGCCATGTGGGATCACGGCGCTTGTTGGCGTAGAAGTCGATGTTCCTCCAAGTCTTCTTGATGCCCTTGTTCCTCTTTTTGGGCTTCGACTTCTTCCCCTTCTTTCCCTTGAACCCCTTTCCGCGGCCTTTACCCTTGCCCTTCGCTGGAGGGGTGTCCGGCTCCGGAACTTCAAGCTGGGCCTCCTCTTCGGGTAGCTCGATGTCCTCTTCTGACTCCTCGGCCGCGGGGAGGGTGTGAGGGGTCTCTTCACAAGGTGGCTCTTCTGCCACCTCAAGGGAGGTTCCTTTGAACCTCTCGTTGGGATCTCTGGTGTCTCCCGCGCTGGAGGAAACGTCCTCTGGGGTATGGACGCTTGGCGGGCTCCTCGATGGCGTCCTGGGCCTCCGGGTGCTGGGGGCTGCTTTGGGATGCAGCTCCTGGGAGTCGGAGCGGTCACGTCTCCTCCGCCTCGACCTACCTCGCCGCCTCCGGTGCCTGTCTCTGTCTTCTTCGTCGTAACCCCCCCGCCTCTGCCGGGGGAGTGGCGGCAATCGCTTGCCCTTTGGAACGGGTTTCTCGTCCTCTTCAACCTCCAGCTCCGGCCTTGAACTAGCCGATGTGACCCCTTCACCTTCGAGTGCTTCAGGTGTAACGGGCTTGGCCTGATGGGAACGCTTCCCCTTCTTGCGGCCTCCGCCCTCAGAGGATTCTTCTTCTTCCTCCTTCTTTACTCCCGTCTCCCCAGGAGAAGCCTTTGTAGGAGTAGGTTCACCGCGTTCTCCTCCGTCTCCAGCCGGATCTGCTGCCGGCTTGGGGGGTGTTGGGCCTCCGGGCCGCACCTCCCCGACTGGTCCGGCCTCCCCACTGCCTGAGGCCGCAGTGCCCCGAACCTCCAGGGCAATTTCCAAGAGCTGGGTGTAAAGTCCTTCGATGTAGGGTCGACAACGATCTCGAAGGACCTGGCTGGTGTCGGCTCCAAACAGCAGCCCTGCCACCTTACGGAAAGTGATGCACAGCCGGCACTCACAGTCCGCAGGTGGGTGCGGCCCCCCCTCTCCAGGGGGGCCACGTTGCATTGCTGAAGCCAAACACACTGCGGATGAAAGAGAATTCAGGTTCGTTTCGTTTTTACACCCGTGAACGTAACCCATAGATCATGTGGTATGTAAGTCTGGTTCTGTCATCTTACAGAAGTCGCGCTTACATTGCCTTTGGATTCTCATGGAATGATGTAAATGTCATTTATCTTGCTGTAAGAAAATATGAACATATCGACTTGCAAATGCTGAAATGAAATGATGCAATGCAAAGGCATCCCGCAAATGATCTGTTGTGGGTCTTTCTACTCTGTGGAACATACCCTCACATGTTTTCTTAAAAATGCATAAACTATGAGTCTTCAATGAGTTTTCATAATGAAGAGGCTATGCATCCATGCCACAGTAGCATCCTTGTGGTGATCCTCGCTCAAGGCTGCAGTCACCAAAAGAAGCAGCGCATCCTTGCTGTGAATGCAACGACAGTTCTGCAACTTTGACAGTCATCCTATTTGCAAATATTTCGTATTTTCTGCATTCCTTTGCGTATTCTTGACAAATAACGGTCGGTCGAGTTTCTTCACCCGTCTGAAAGCCTCCATCTGCCACCGACGAATCCTGGAATTCACAAACGGGACAAGAGATCAGGTCATTCTGTTTGCCAAACACAAACACAAACATTCTGTTTCTCAACTGCGCCTCACAGCCCCTTTTACAAGGTTGGCTAGCATCAAGCGGCATGTGTCAAGGCAAAGGCCAACAAATAACGGATCACTGCAATGCTGAAATGCAACAAATTGAAAACATGTTATGCTATTGTTCCTGAGGCATTAAAGAAACTTGGACAGGAAAAATGGTTTGAGCTGACAAAGTATCGCAAAAAAAGGAGTTAATCGTGTTTCAACCTTCGCATGTTTGACCGTTCCCTTCATGTTGGTGCTCACTTTGGGAATCACTGACAGCCAAAGCATACGTCAAGACGTCTTTGATTGTTCCTCTTTCACATCAAATCTACCCATGGTGCGCTGACGCAAAACACACGAACAAGCAGCCAAAACTCCCAGCCCAATTTGTGCTCATCATTTTCAATTCCAACAACAAATTGCACGACATGGAACCTCAATCACAACTGGCTGGTTTGTAGCTACTACGAGCTCACGCCGTGGCTGCCCGTATAATGGCTAAATCCGAACTGACATCGGCAAATGTTCAAAAACGTTGGCCCTGCCCATGATAAACCTCCGATATATTTGTTCATTGAAGTATAATGGCTAAATCGGATTCTTATTGGCACTACAACCGACAAAAGTTCAAAAACGTTGGCCCTGCCCTTGATAAACCTCCGATTTACTTTTTCGCCGAAGTATATTGGCTAAACAAAGTGGGAACAAGAACCCAAAAGTGGGACAAGAATGGGAACAAAGTGGGAACAAGAACCCAAAAGTGGGACAAACATGGGAACAAAGTTGGAACAAGAACCCAAAAAGTGGGACAAGAATGGGAACAAAGTGAGAACAAGAACCCAAAAAGTGGGACAAGAATGGGAACAAAGTGGGAACAAGAACCCAAAAAGTGGGACAAGAATGGGAACAAAGTGGGAACA